TCTCAAAAACTTAAAAAATAGAACTACCACATTCTCCAGCAATTCTTTTACTGCATATATACTCAATGGAAATTCAATCAATATGTTAGAAATACTTGCATTTCTGTGTTCATTTCAGCATGATTCACAATAGTCAAGATATGGAGTCAATGTAAGTACTCACCATGAATGGATTTTTGAAATGAGTACATGTACAAAATGCAATACTATTCAGCCTTTAAAAAGAAAATCTTGGGCCAGGTGGTGGATGATGGTTAAAGTCCTGGGTCCCAATGTGTTCGACTTTGTGGATCAAGTCTCAGACCTGATGGCCTGAAAAACACTGAGCACGTGTGTGTGTGCACACGCCCAAAATCCCAAGAGGATGATGGAGAAAATGAGATCGCAGTATGTCCATCTTCCTTGAGGAGTGTTTTCTCACTCCACTCTCCCTCCCTACCAGACACACCTACCCTATGGCAAAAACCTAAAAAAAAAAAAAAAAAAAAAAAAGAAGGAAATCTTATCATTTTTAACAGCATAGATGAACAAAAAGGATATTATGTTAAGTGAAATAAGCCAGGGACAGAGAGATGACAACTGCTTACATGTGAAATCTAAAAAAGTTCAACTCAGTAGAAGCAGAGAATAGAATGGCAGTTGCCAGAGGCTGGGGATATGGTAGAGAGCAGAATGAGAGGGATGGTGGTCAAAGTATACAAAATTTTAATGAGACAGAGTAAGTTGAGGAGACATATTGTATAGCATAGTTACAATAATAAAATTATATACTTGAAATTTGCTGAAAGAGCATATTTTAAACATTCTCACCACAAGTAAAAAAGCCTATTAGATTATATATATATATATATAAATACTTAGCCATTTCACAGTGTATACATATTTCAAAACATTGTAAATCATAAATATATACAATTTTGTCATTTAAGAAAATAATAAAGATTATTAGATGCAAGCTCAAAATGTAAAAGTCAGTAGTGTTGCTATACACAGCAAACAATGTAAAGGTTTTAAAGTATGTAATTTTTTTAATCAAAAACTTCCTATGTACTCAGTACATAGAAATAAATTACAACAGAAGATATGTATAAATGTTATGGAGACAATTATAAATTTTATTTAAGTCATTGTAAGACCTACATAAAGTAAGTAGCTGAGAAGACACCTCTAAAACTACAGTAAGCAATTTTAAAATAAACTCATAAAGATAGGGAAATGGGAGAGAAAGCAGTGACAACAGAATTTAAGAAGCTGGAAAGCAGGTAAATGAATGGCAACTGATTTAAGAAATTTGACTTAATCTGAGAAAGCTGAATCTTAAGTTGTCAATGGGGAAAATTAAGAACTTAATTTACATAGAATCGTCAAAAATCAGGAACTGGCGACCTTAGTACTCAGTAATAGAAGGGGAAATTAAGGGTTCAAGTGAAAGACAGTATTTAAGAATGTAATCTATGGACCAGCAGGTGGTGTAGTGGTTAAGGTGCTGGACTCCCACATGGTCCACTGCAGTTTGAATCCTGGACCCAGTGGCTTGAAACACATGCCCCGGGGGGGTGGGGGGCATCGTGGTTAAGGGCGCTGGATTCCCACATAGCCAACCACGATTGAGTCCTGGACCTGGCAGCTTGGTTTCTTACTTAATCTCTCTCTCACTCTGTCCCTCTCTGGTCAAATTAAAATAAAGAAATAAAAATTAAATAAAATAATTCTTAAAAAAAGAAAGAAAGAAACACATGCCAGGTACATCTGCATGTGTGCCAGAAATCCTGAGGAGAGTGGCAAAGGGACTGTAGCATGGACATTCCCCCTGTCTCTCCAGTGAGTATACACATCCTATAGCAAAAAATCTCTCCAAAAGAAAATCAGAAAATCATGTTAGGCATGTGTGCATACATGCTCAAAATCCCAAGACTGGAGGAGAAAGAATTGCAGTGATGGAATGGCCAGGGAGGCCATCCCCTATCTCTCTGTCTGTCTGGGGGTTTTTTTGGAGAGGTTTTTTGGTTATATGGCGTGTGCACTCCCCAGAAAGATAGAGACAGAGAGAAAGCGAGAAATCACCCCCCAGGAGGGATGACCACATCACAATACCTTGACCTCCATTCTCCTCAGGTATCATTCTTTGTAATGTGAGTATCAGTTACAGGTATTCATTTTCTTTTTTGGGGAGAGGGAGAGGTTTTTGCTATAGGATGTGTGCGCTCGCCAGACAGAGAGACAGAAAGCGAGAAATCACCCCCGAGGGGGATGGCCATGCCGCAATCCCTTTTCCTCCATTCTCCTCTCGGGATCTTGGGTACACATGCACACACACACACACACACACACACACACAGCGTGAGTTTTAAGCCACCGCCGGGTCCAGGACGCAAACTACGGTCAATTACATGGGAGTCCAGCGACATAGCCATTATACTAACTGCTGGTCCCTTCATTTTCTTTAAAGTACATATTTTATGTACTTTTTTATGGGTTATGGCATGGTCTTCCAATTTTAAGAAAAAATAACTACAAAAGGAATAAAAATAGGCAAGGAAAAAAATCTGTCAAAAAGACAAGGAGCTGGGCTGGTCTTAACCACAGGCTAGGGCCTAGTGGTTAAAGCACTGGATTTCACATGGCTGACTATGTGGTTTAAGTCCCAGTTTAAGAAATATGCCAGATACGTGTGCCAAAAATCCTGAAAGGAAGGAGAGATGGAGGAGAAAGGATTATGGAGTGACCATTCCCCATGGGGGGTGCTTTCTCTTTTTGCTAGCTTTCTTTTTGGCTGGCATATGTACCCTACTCCCTCTAGCATGCACACACACACACACACACACACACACACACATTATGGAAATTTTAAAAACAGGATGGATCAAATAGTGGGTTAAACATAGCTTTAAAATAGATTGGGGGACTGGGAGGTGGCATGGTGGCTAAAGCACTGGGCTCACATATGGCAGACCACAATTCAAGTCCTGGACCTGGTGACTTGTTTTTTTCATTTTCTGTGGTCAAATTTTTAAAATAAAAAATAATAAAGTAAATATATATATATATATATAGGTACACACACACACATACACACACACACAGCACTTTCAAGTTTTATATATATGCACATTATATATGTGTGTATATATATATATATATATATATATATACATATACATAGCACTTTTAAGTTAGTATGTTTTCTTACACGTGCCCGGCATGAGTTTAAGCCACCAGGCCTGCGATTCAATCCGCAGTTGACTACATGGGAGTCCAGTGACATAGCCATTACGCCAACTGCTGGTTTCCCAAAATAATTATTCTAAAAAAATTTTTAATAGATTACAGGACCAGTAGGTAGCATAGTGGTTACGGTGCTAGACACCCATATGGCTGATCACAGTTCAAGCCGGACCTAGCAGCTTGAAACTCACACTGGGCGCATGTGTGCATACTCAGAATCCCAGGAGGAGAATGGAGAAGGGATTGTGCTGTGACCATCCTCCCCGGGGTGTGTTTCTCACTTGCCCCATCACTGTATCAGTCTGTCTCTCTCAGGGAAGCACATGTGCCCTATGCCGAAAACCTCTTTAAAAAACAATTGATTAGGAGATAGTTATTGAGGGACCAGCTGTTGGCGTAATGGCTATGTTGCTGGACTCCCCTGTAGTTGACTGCAGTTCAAGTCCTGGACCCAGTGGCTTAATCTCAGGCTGGGTGCATGTGCATGCATGCCCAAGATTCCGAGAGGAGAGTGGAGGAAAAGGGATTGCAGAGTGGCCATCCCCTCTGGGGAGTGATTTCTCATTTTTTGTCTCTTTCTGGTGAGCACATGTCCCCTATAGCAAAGGAAAAAGAAACCTGAAAAAAAAAGATAGTTATCGAGGTTCAGCTATGGTAGAGCTAACTGGTAGACACTGCTACTCAGCAGACTGAGGTCATACAAGAGGCCCAGATTCATTTCCTGGCTTATCCTAAAAAGGTAGGTGCAGTAATGTGTACCTATTGTCCCAGCTACTTGGGAGACTGAGGTAGGAGGATTGTGACATAGCAAGACCCTGTCAGAGGCAAAGAAAGAAAGAGAGAGAGAGAGAGAAAGAAAGAAAAAGAAAGAGAAAAGCTAGGTATTGAAAAGTTACCCAGAATACAGCATGTAGAAATGTGGACATAAAAAACACAAATGAATACTACAAGAAGGGTCAAATATGAATCTTTCAGACATCTTTTTGGAGCTCAAAAGAATAGAGAAAAGGAGAGTCAATGTTGGACTAAGGACAGAATTTTTTTTAGGATATATGAATATCATGAACCTTAAAGTTTGGAAAGTGAAGTGAATCCCATTAAAGATAAATAAATAGGGTTCTAAATTTATGCCTATCAGACTGAAACTGTAGTACTCCAAAGACACAGAGGATCAGCCAGAGGGGGTAAGAAAAGATAAATTATCCAAAGTAACAGTAGACCAGTAGCAGACTTAAAAATAAAAACACTGCAAGCCAGTATTTAGAAAGTAATTATCAACCTGAAGTTACATACTCAGTTAAAACTTTGTTCAGAAAGACTAAAATAAAGACTTCCAGAATAATACAAAGAAAGATTACTTCTGCAAAGTATTTAAAAATTCTCAGGAAGTGGAAAGCTTCTGGGTTTACATCTAGAGACCTTCCTGAGTACGCCATGTACACACATGCCCATGATCCAGGGCTGGCAGAGGCATGGGGTATATTCCAAGATCAGGACCCTTGGGGGTACAGGGTGCTATGTCTCTCTTTCTTGTTCTGTCTCTTTTGCTCATGAAAGAAAGTTTAAACAATTTTCAGGGATATACTTCAGAGAGAAAGATGATCTAAAAGGAAGATCATAGAAGGAATGGTAAAAAAAAACAAACCATTAATCATGTATATAGGTCTAAATATACATTGACTGTAAATTCTGTTTTGAAGGGCAAAAACCCAACTATCCATGAACCATTATATTTATGATAACGTTAGATTATGTTGGTTTGATTTCTTCTATAGGTGTACAGAAGATGGGTGTCCACATAAGAAATTCTTCCACACACGTTTTCTCATGCGAATGAGATTAACACCAGATTGTTCCAAAATGTTGATCTCAACGTCGTCTGGCTATCTCTTGATTTTGCATGATCTTGACTTAACTAAGTCTTTAGAAGTAGGCAGCTATCCTATTTTAAGAGCAAGAAGAACTACATCAAGTTCAGGTAAGCTTTTCTTTTTTTGATTAAAAAAGTTTTCTAAAGAATCTTGGGCATAAGGATGCTGCTACGTATTTATTTTTAATGTTTAATGTTGTGTTCAAGTTTTTTTAAAGAATTTTTTATTTTATTATTATTATTATTATTATTTAATTTTACCAGAGAGGGAGAGACAGAGAGAGAGGGAAAGTGAGAAAACAGGACACCAGGTCTGATTCTCGAACTATGGTTGGCCATGTGGGAGTCCAGCACCACCCCCACCTGCTGCCGCCAAGGATGGTATATGTTTCTATTCTGAGAATGATAACAGGAAAGGGAAGAAAATTTTAAGACATTCTTCAGAATAGCTTATTTCCAAGAAAGTATAATGATCTGTATGTATCTCTGACATGGCATTAGTTTGTGACTCGGTATCACAAATGATTTAGAAAGATTTACATTAATTCTAAAAATACTTTCATGTAGCTTTCTGGCAGAGAATTGTCCATCAGGTTTTTTTTAGAATTATTTTATTTAACTTTATTCATTTGTTTATTTCAGTTTGATCAAAGAGAAACAGAGAGAGAGAAAGAAAGTGAGAAAGCAAACCACCAGGTCTGGGACTCAAACCACAGTCAGCCATGTGGGAATCCAGTGCCTTTAGCCACCATGCCACACCTACCGGCTTGTTCATCAGTATTTTTCAGTAAGCACTTTCAAAAGATTAGTGATGGCCCAAAGAAGTATCAGTCAAGTACTTCTGGAATTTAACCAAATTTTCAAGTTATGGTCAATAGAGAGTGTTAGTTTAAATATATATTGTATTCTATAGTTCCAGATATCCAGACACAGGTAACTAGTGCCATCTTTTCTCATGACCCCCTAAATACTCTCCTGCTTTTGCTGAAGCTCTATAGCTTTTGCTGATTCCATTAAACTTAAGTGGAATTGGGGTTCAGAAAAACTACTGTTTTAGCAACATTATATGATGAAGAGACTATATTTTATCTGCCTTTGAGAAAGAGAAGACTGGTTTTGGAACATAACCATCATTTGTAATATTCTGTTTATGAACACAAACCTAGAAAAAAAAGACTTTAAAGCATTTGGAAAGAGTCATTCATAAATTGCTGTTAAAAAGTAGCTTCACAGGGCTGAACCTGTGGCCTTGTTAAGGGAGCCAGATCCCATATAGCTGACCAACCATCATTTGAATCCTGGCCCCTGGAGGCTTAAAAAACATGCCCAGTGCATATGTGTGTATGTGCCCCAAATCCCAAAGGTTGGAGAAATGGAGAAGAGATTATGGCTTGACACAATCAACCACATCACTAGGGGTTGTTTTCTCCCTCTTTCTCTGCCTCTGTCTCTGTCTCTGTCTCTCTTTGGCAAGCACAGGCACCTTTTGGCAGGTTAAAAAAAAAAAAGGGGGCTCCGGGGGGGGGGTCCCGCTTTTTTGCC